TTTTTTTTTTTTTTTTTTTTTTTTTTTTTTTTTTTTTTTTTTTTTGATAACCCAGTATCCGACCACTAAGCGTGATCGACTAGCCCACTGGGCCTAAGCCCATGCCATGACAGGATTTTTAAGCGTCCACTTAAGGGCCCCTGGTTACGCTAAGTGGTCTGGAGCGCCACACCAACTCCGCAGGTAAATTATGTGGTGGCCGGGGTTCGAAGTCGGATGGTGGGCACCTCAACCGAGGTTCCTTTACCACCAGGCTACGAAGGCCGGTTGACTGTTCAATACTTTTAATGCTCTGTTCTATGTTTGAAACACTTAAAAGGCACTTTATGTGCCATCGGATCTATTTATATCCAAAAACTGCATTTCATATATATATATATGTGTGTGTGTGTTTCATTAAAAAAAAGAATACATATTAGAGCTGGATCCGAGAATTCATAGTCAAGAAGAAAAAAGATAATGTTGCCACTTTAAAGAGAAGAAAGTAACAAAATTGTTGTTCACAGGGTGGGTATTGATTGAGAGGAATGGGTTAACTTGGACAAACTCAGCCAGTAAATCAAAGACAATTTTTACAATAGAGGTCAAAATTAAGTAACTTACGTAAAGGCTGAAAGCATGGACTTCTTTCGTCCCAATTAAGTAACTTACGTAAAGGTTTTGGTTCTTCACAAATATATGTGTGTTGAAACTACTAGGTTTGAAGACAATATAAAAATATCAGATTATATGATTTATAATATAAAACAAAAAATATTTAATGAATATAGTTTTACTACAAATGATTTAGCATTTATTGAAAATGAAGCAATGCGTAAACCATAAAGTGCTTCTTTCTCCTAAAATGGAATTACTATGGATGTTGTACTGACCGACTTCACCCAATGTTCATGATCGGGTAAAAACTGAAATGGTTATGTATCTGCACTTCCACCGAAAGCTGATAGGTTTTGGTTCTTGACAAATATATGTGTCTAGAAACTATTACGTTTGAAGACAATATAAAAATATCAGATTATATGTATAAAACAAAAAATATTTAACGAATATAGTTTTACTACAAATGATTTAGCATTCAATGAAAACTGATAGGTTTTGGTTCTTGACAAATATATGTGTGTTGAAACTACTATGTTTGAAGACAATATAAAATATCAAATTATATGATTTATAATATAAAACAAAAAATATTTAATGAATACAGTTTTACTACAAATGATTTAGCATTTATTGAAAATTAAGCAGCGCGTAAACCATTATAAAGTGCTTCTTTCTCCTAAAATGGAATTACTATGGATGTTGTACTGACCGACCTCACGCAATGTCCACATCGGGTAAAAACTGAAACGATGATCTGTGAAGTTAGAACCGTGTGATAACCTTCTTTAAACCTAGAATCACGAATTCAGTAAGATGTTGACCCGGAGTTCACCACACCACACCGGTAACTCGGCGTGGCTGCTATATCTCTCCGGAGCCGGGATTGAACCGGTAACTTACTATCTTCAACGAAGAACTCACAATCCCAGCCTTTCGTCAATACAACTTCTCCGATCTCCCTCTCTCTCCCTCTAACGGAATACAGAGATAACAACTAATTCTAACAACCACCTAAACCAGCTTATCAACGTTTCCTTAAGTACTAACCAAAACACTTGATAACCAAGCCGGTTTACCTAAACCTGATAAGCACAAACCGCCTATCAAACTAATCGAGAGAAAGAGAGTCGGTACAAATCAATTAATAGACTTAACCAAATACAATCCTAATCTAATAAAGCCTTAACCGAAGAAGTACCTGACCGAATGATACATTGTCTACATTCTTCATGATCTGTATCTGCGCATTCACTAAAAATTAATAGGTTTTGGTTCTTGACTAATATATATGTGTGGAAACTACTACGTTGGAGTTATATGATTCTCTTTGTTGTCGGGTTTACCCACATAACGAATGTACTAGTTAGACAAGCCGCGAACTATATATATAAAATGGATCGGATATATATACCAAAGATATTTGATCAGGGGCTGTCTAATAGCATGTGTAAGTGGAGCAGTCGAATAAAACCATAAAAAAAAAAAGCAAAAAGGAAAAAATAAGGAAAAATTTAAGAATTTTTAAGAAATATATAGATAAATTATGATAATTTTTTTTAAAAATATATATTGCTAGATTAGAACTTATAATTTTTAAAGAAACATCAAACAGTTATTAATTTTAAAAAAATTCATTAAATCATAAATATATTGTTAATTTGTTTTTCGAACATGGTATCAAATTTATTTGAGACGGCCCCAAATGAAAACACGTTTAGAAATTTATTTGACATTCAAGTCAGTGACTCTCCGAAGAGAAGGTCGCCATTGTTGTTTTGTTTGAGCCACTTTGTTTCCTTTGTCTCAAGTAACGTGGAAACGCGGAGGCAGAAATTGTCTCGGCGGATCCTTGGTTGTCCGTGTGGCTTGAATGACGAACGAAATCTTCTTCTCCTGTTTTTTCATTACGGCTTCAAATACTTTCATCAATCACAATAAATGATACTATAATGTATCCCTTATCATAATTGATATAAATATTTGTGACGCTTAGCATAAATGATTTAATTATTTGCATCGATTATTTAAACGTTGTAAATACTTGCATCAGGTTTTTTAGATGATGCATTTTTATATCATTTGAAATATTTGATGTTAATATTATCATTACGTCTAATAAACGATGGAAAATGTGTTAACAATTATAACAATTGACACTAATAATTGTAATGTTTTTGTGTAAGCGATTGGAAAAAATTGACTCACTTATTTTAATTGATGTTAATATATCACTGTTGCATCATTTAATATATTTTCTACTAATATTCACGCATCATTTATGCAATTGAAGTAATATATTTTCGTTCAACAATTAAAAATTAAATTCATTAAAATAATAACAATTAGTAATAATATAAAATAAATAAATTATTTTTCAGATAAATATCAAAATGCATACAAAAGTCTAATATTAAAACGTGAACCAAACATAAAAACCATAGTAGCTGATAAAATAAATAATCCAAACATTGCTCTAAACTTAATTACTGAAAGTGCCTGCTGCCAGCCTGCCACCGTACTCTAATTCACATGATCTCTGTTTTGGGTTCCCTGTTAAAAACATCATATTAGATTTATTTCTATTTAGTTAAAGAATAATGCTTAAAGTAAATAAATAAATGTTTAACATAAAGCTCATAAAGTACCTCAGAATTTTGTTGATAGACCAAATTTGATAAAATATCAGCAAAATTTGTTTGATTGGCCAAGTTTGACAGAACACCAGCTAAATTTGGGACCCTCCATTAGTCTACATATACAAAATATTATTTAGTAAAAGATATAATACACCAAAAATTAATATAAAACACTAATTAGTATAAAATAGGGTTTTTAGTGATTAAAACCTCCAACTATTTTTAAATCGGATGAAAAACCTCCAACTAAAATTTTATGTTTTTAAACCTCCAACTATTAAACCGTTAATTCCGTTAACCTTCCGTTATCAAAATCGTTTTTTCTTAACGGAGACCCGTTAAATCGAAACACCGCATTTCATTTAATTTCAAAAACGACATAAGGTTCTTATCATCAATATATATTTCAGTGATTTAAACCTCTAACTATTTTTAAATCGGATAGAAAACCCCCGACATAAAATTTTATATTTTTAAACCTTCAACTATTAAATCTTTAATGCTTTTAACCCTCTGTAAATAAAGTCATATTTTCTGAATGAGAAACCGTTAAATTGAAACACAGAGTTCTATGTAATCATATAAACGACATGAAATGTTTAAACCCCCTATATCAATGGGCAATGACAATCACAATTCATCCTCAAATAAAAAAATTAAAGTTCTTTTTCCTCTTCATCGAAGGTGAGGTAAGTCAAAAATTGTATTGTTTCTAATTTTACGCTATGATTGTATGGCACTTCTGACGATATATTTTAAGTTTAAAACATATTTACTTTGACAACATCTAATATTTAGCCAATCAGGTGAAAAAAGTTCAACTTGCCTTTTCGCTAGTTACTGTTGAAACATAGTAAATTGTTTTTTTCTCTCTCTTGGTTTATGCAGAGAAATTTGCGCAGGCTTTTGTATTGTTTTCCACTTTTTATTTTTTTCTGTCTGTCACCTATTTATTTTACTCTATTTTACCTTAATGGCCCATCGATCATTGCCCAAACATTATGATATTGATGCTCAAAGAGCCATCATCTCGAGGGGCGTATTAGGGACAAAGGGCTCACATCGGTTGTTGGAAAGAATTATAAGCAATATATAAGATAGATGGGCCACTCCACTTATTACCAATTGGTTTTAGGTTGGAAGCCCATCTACCTTAACATGGTA